TATTGCATGTTTGTATTTCCATGGTATCATGTACTAATCATGCATCTGGAGGAAACAGGCCCATTCAGTTTTTGTTCTTAATCTGATAAGTACAAAACAATAAAAAATACCAGCAAAATAATTTTTTTTCTGCATATAACCCCTCCCCCATTAGCTTAAAGTATGGAAGAAAAACAAAACGTTTTGGAAACTTTCAGACGCGGTAAAAATTGGGAACATTAAAAAAAAACCCCTTAACTTAATGTTTAAGCACAATTTTATGAGTTCCCATTGACCAAAAATACAGAGCGCTCACAAAGTTATTCACATGACACATTAAAACTCTGTCTACCTTTATGTTGTTGACTTTGTTGAGCAGGACAGACTTCAGCCACACCTTCAAATCTTCTGCCTGGGCTTTGTTCAGACTGTTGGCATCTATATACAACAAAAAAACACAGAAAAAACCAAAACAAACATAAACATTATAATTATGGTCTCCTTCTTCTTCAAGTGCCAGATATGAAGCAAACATTGGCCATCATGGTTGGCCGTTCATTTCTCAGTTCAGATGCTCTCACTGCTCCCCTCCCCCAACAAAGCAACCCAATGTTATTCTGGTTCTCTTCCTATCATTCATCTGTTTCAAGTTGTTCTTAGTCTATCCTTGCCTCTTTTGCCTTAAATTGTTTTATCGTTATTCTTTTCTTAATCTCTAAATGTCATAGGCCTTACAAAGGGCATTCCAAAAGTTTTTTACCTGATCATGAAGGAATAAAGGTAGAAAGCTGAAATTTGGTACTAAGCTTAGTCGCCTCCTAGAGTTATGCATGTTCTCCATCTGTGTATGACCTTGAAAAGACCTTGAGAATAGAGGACCCTCTCTATGTCAGAAAACCAGCCCTCTACCGCTTCTTTGACCTCATCATCACTTTTTTTACACCAAAATTTTACCACAGCATAGGATGGGCAATCACTTCCATATACGGCATGCGTCTCTGAAAAAATATCCTGTAGTTGCTTGCCTTGCAAGAACATACTTCATTACTGCCCTGCGCTCAATTTTCTCCCTTTTTATGTTGAAACAGGTGAACAACATACCCCCATTCACTTACAGTGCGTTGGTGGTAAAACCAGTAATCTGAAATTCCCCAAAATTTAAAAGCATTCTAGGAAGATGATTGTTGGCTTTCACCCCAAATTTCAGCTTTCTACTTTTATTCCTTCATGGTCAAGTAAAATCTTTTGGTATGCCCCTCGTATAGGTAAAAAAATTCTGTTGAGTAAGGGAATTTTGATAGTTTTCACAATGGATAATAAATCCATAAAAACATTTTAAAATAAAAATCCATATCAATAAAACAACAACACACACATAATAAAACTCATCACCATTTTCATCAACAGTGTCCGTGTCTTCCTTATCGTCATACAGCTCGTTCTCTATAGACTTAAGATTCTTGCGGTCAAACTGGCCCAGGTTCATGAGCACCAGCTCATCGTAGGGCTCGTACAGAAACAGGACTTCAATATCACGTTTCTTTAGAGCTTCAAAGTATGGGGATGTCTCGGCAAGCTGCCGGCTGGGAAAAACAAAAAGAAAAAGGGAAAATAATAACTTTGGTTTAATATGTGGCCCCAAGACAATTGCACTATGCGGATAATATTGTAGAAATACAATATAAACCAGTGAATTATGTGACTGAATGGTGTAGAAAGTGATGTAAAAAGTCTTACTAAAACGAAAAACTAAGTTAGTGGTGGTGAACTCTAAAAGATGACGATCTTAGTTCCTTAAAGCTGAAGAAATGAAATAATTTGTTAAAATAAGTATGTAATCTTTTATCTGAAATCAGTAGAAAACAGACACTTTCTAAATTTCGAATTCTCTTGTTTTAGGAATGACAATACAAGTACGATATACAGAATAACTGATTGGTTGTTTTCAAACCTTATCCTTATCTCAAGCAGGCAAAAAAAAAAAAGACTGCGTATAATGTGTGCGTGAGTGTGTGTGTGTGTTTGTGTCTGTGTGCATGCGTACAGGAATATTGTTCGTACATGCATTTATGTAAAGCGCCTAGAGTTGTGTTCACACGGAAGTGGGTGCAAAAGAAATGATCTTCATTATTATAATTATTATTATTCATCAAACTAATAAACTAAAATTAAGACAACATTCATACATTCTCATGGCCAGGACTGAAGTGAGATAAAGACTACGTCGAACTCACTCTACAATAATTCCATAATTATAATGCTCAATCAGGCCCGGCAGAGAACTGACTTTATGGTGCAAGGGACATAATAAGGTACAAACCTTGGCGCAGACAGAAAGTAGATAGTTCTCTCCCCTGCCTTCATTCTCTCGCCATACTCCTCCAGGCTTGTCAGTTCGCCTGAGTTCAGTTTGGAAGATTCGAACCGCAACAATTTTGCGATATCCTCCTGTAAAAAGATATACGGGATGACGGTCAAATGAAACATCTTCCATGATTCAATGACATGATATCCTCTTGTCGCTCACATAAAATAGAAAAGTGTTTGACAGAACTGGTTCACTGGTACCTTTTCAATCTTCATGGCATCTGCTCTTTTCATTGGATTTTCTTTCTAGATCTTAGAGACAAGGAGACAAGGAGCAGAAGATGAATCTAAAAATAGGAACTATATTCTTTGCTCTATGAAAAAGATCAGTTCTCTCCAATAGACAGAAATTTTGCTTTCTTTATCTTGCAACAACTCAATATAAAAAAATACATGCCATTCAAAATGAGAGGGAGCCCTTCTAACGCTAAACAGGTTTTGTACAAGCAGAACCTACAACACCCACCTACTTACAAAACATAGACATTGACAATAAGATAACGGGTAACAAAGCTAAACTATGAAATGAGGTATATCAGGAATAAAAGTCCCTTTCTTTTTCTAATGTCAAACCAAAAATTTCAAACTCACTGGAAAGTAGTTATCGTGTTTTATAACTATTGTGAAATTAACAGGACTTTGTTGTATAAGAGTGTAACAGAAACAGTTCTAGGAATTTGTTTGAAAATCCCACATAAACAAGCTTTCTTTTAAAAGTTTTGTTCTTCACTTCAGTTTGGTTGTGCCCTTATGAGCAGTCAACCAATGAATGCAACAGATTACCTCAAACACGAGTTTTTAAACAATTAACCTACTTTTGGAAGCAAAACATAATTTGCTAACGAACACAAGCGAAAAATACATACTCTTTGATCTTGCTCAGCAGTGGTAACAATTCCCTCTCTGAAGAACAGCCCATAGTCATCATAGAATTCCCTGTATGCCAAGGGGTTTTTCTTGGCTTGGTCCACAAAGAACTTCAATATTCTGTTGGTCAAGACTTGACGAAGCTTTCTGTCAAATAAAAGACCAAAGCAGAGTAAATTTTAAAAAAATGAAACAGATTCAGTTGTGGCATGTCTACAAGTTTTTTCTTTTCCAGATTAAAAAATTAAAATTTAAAAAAAGTTATAATTCTGCCTTCTGAAACTGTTAACAAGATTAAAAGATAGCACACTACCATGACTTTTAAAGGAACCTATAGATAACAAATAATATTTTCAGCTTCAAAAGACAAATCTTCAATGGTTGTGCAAGACATTTTCTCATTATTGTTCTTATCCCAATATGAAACTTGTAATAGTAAAAAAAAAACCAGTACGGTAAATAGCATAAAGCTTTTAAGGTCATGACTGTCTCACACACATCGATAAGTCTTAGCCATGGGTCTTTGATGACATTGGTGACATTTAAAAAATCTAAATACAGACAAAAAAATCAGTCCCAAAAAGTATAAATTGTCTTGATGCGAAACTTTCTTCAAACTTCGAATGAAAGTTAAAATTGAACTTATCAAGGACTCTTATTTCACAAAATATTCTGAGTACAGTCAACAAAAAGAAAATAAAAACATGGGGAAAAAGGGTTTTCTAGATAGCATGGTCCTCTGTTTTACATAGCATACTATTAAATTGTAAAAATATTGTATCAAATAACAACTAGCAAAGTTACTTGGAGGATACATCCAAAATCCATTTTGCCAACTGTTTGTGGGCTAAGGGACAAAACCCCCAGACCATTGAGGAATTGTACAGAAATTATTTACTCCTCATAAAGCCCCTTTAGCCATCTCATAGAGGCAACAGAAAAGCTTGGTATTCATTTCAAACACGCAAAGAATTGTTTCCAAGTTTGTGGTCACTGTTTGCCTTCAGATGGCCCCATGCTTTGTCAACAGTGTCAGTGATATCTGACCCCTGGCGCACCCACACGGTGACACACAGAGGGAAATGGCATGGTCATTCATCATAAGGCAATACAAGACCATGTCAAGACAGCAAAATAAGTGCTAAAAAGGGTTGGTGCTAAGACCCCAGCAATCTACTTTCTGAAAATTATTCCACTAAAGGTGGCTAAAGCTATGGTGCAGTGGTTTATCAGCTGGGCTAATAGTGTTCCTGTGTGCAAGCGCATGTGTATATGAGAGTACATGTATACTGTATGCAAGCTGTTCAACCGCTCTAAGCCCTGAGAGCAAAAATGCTCAAGAGAGAGCAAAAACTGTTTCATTCCATTAAAATGTGTATCCCTTGCATTGTGTTTCTATTCTCGCTTTTTTTTTTCACCATCTATATTTTGTGAGGCAGTGTGGTGAAATCAGGCGCTCGTCAAAATAACGAAATTGGAGAAACTGGCATTTTTATGGAAGATTGAAAATTTTGATCGAATTTTTATTTTTTGGCTCAACCCCTTTTATGTCCATACAAAACAGAATTCCACGTGAATTTTATTGAAAAACATTGATTTAAACACAAAATATGTCATTTTTTTGTTTTCAAGGAATTTTAAGCTTTAGGAGTCTCCAAACTTTGGCGGACACTTTTTATTAAATAAAAAAAAACAGTATAAAAAAACAACTAGCAAAGCTGCTCGGTGGATCTATCAAAAATCCGTTTTGCCAACTGCTTGTGGGCTAAGGGACAAAAAAAACAGACGATTGAGGAATTGTACAGAAATTCTTTACTCCTCATAAAGCCCCTTTAGTCCCCCTCATAGCGGCAACAGAAAAGCTTGGTATTCATTTCAAACGTGAAAAGAATTGTTTCCAAGTTTGTGGTCACGGTTTACCTTCAGATGGCCCCATGCTTTGTCAACAGTGTCAGTGACCTCTGACCCCTGGTGCACCCACACGGTGACACACAGAGGGAAATGGCATGGTCATTCATCATAAGGCAATACAAGACCATGTCAAGACAGCAAAATAAGTGCTAAAAAGGGTTGGTGCTAAGACCCAAGCAAACTACTTTCTGAAAATTATTCCACTAAGGGTGACTAAAGCTATGGGTTTATCTGTAGAGTTAATAGCGTTCCTGTGTGCAAGCGCATGTGTCTTTATATGAGAGTATATCGTATGCAAGTTGTTCAACTGTTTCAAGCCCAGAGAGCAAAAATGCTCAAAAGAGAGTAAAAACTGTTTCATTCCATTAAAATGTGTACCTCTCACATTGTGTATCTGTTCTTGCTTTTTTCAACAGTTAGATTTTCAATTTCAACCAAATATTTCTGGAACATATTATATTATATGCAACTGATACCACAGAAAAGAAATAGCGGTTTAAAAAAATTTCCCATAATTTTAAGTTTAGTAGCTGGCCAACGATATATTAAGTGAGTTGGAGTTGACCCAAGGCACAAGAAATTAATCAGTTTTGCTGACCCAAAAGTTCAAAGAAAGAAGCAAAAGATGTGAATGAAAATGAAAGAAAAGCTGTGGATGAGAATGGAATGAGACAAAAGCAAAAAAAAAAAAAATGAGAACAAGAAAGATGGAAAATATGAGAATGAGAAAGGAGAAGAAATTAATTTTAAAAAGGAGAAGAAATTAATAAAAAAAGGAGAAAATGTGAACGAGGAAGGCATCCCCTCCGACGGGCGCAACATTTTGAGAAGTTGTAAGAAGAGTGGAGGCTAGCCATTGTTCTCACCTGATCAGATTGCTGTCCTGCAGCAGCTCTCGGCTCAAGTTGAGGGGAATGTCCTCACTGTCCACCACACCTGGTGCACAAAAACAGGACAAGAAAAAAACAAAAAAACACAGTCTGTAAGATTTACACCTGTGAAAAATGTGGCAGTTACAGTCAAGCCTGCCCCAGATCAGCTGTCTTATAAAAAAAAAAACATAAATGCGAAATTAGGTCAATTAGCATTTTTATACAGGGGAGAAATTCCTTTTCATGGAGTGTCTTTTTATCTTAGTTTTACGGCTGTACAATTAAATTAAGGGAGTTTGGGGCTTTTGAAAATATGCATTGCGACCTAATTACATATCTATATAGTTATGACCAAAGAAATTTTAATAAATTGCTCCATAACTATTTACTGTAGACCTCAGCAAAGCAGACAAAAGTTACACCGTCCACTGAATATTGACAAGAAATAATCAGATCGACCAAATTATAGTTAAGTTGAAACATACACAAAAAAAAGTTAGTTTTTTCCCCTCTCTTGTAAAATTTCATTTTTGGCAAATACATTTTTCTATCATAAGACGGCAGAGGTGACCACCCATTGTGAGGAGAAAAGCTATCATCTTAGACAGGTGGTCTCTTTGGACAGTGTCATTATAATATAGCACAATTGTGAGGGGAAAGTGGGAAGTGATCATTTGTACGCATGGTTGCCTTGAACTGGTGGTCCTTAGAGCAGGTTTGTTTTTTATTTAGTAGAGGTTTTACGGCGCTCGCAACTGCATAAGGTCATATGAGCGCCAATGGGTGGATGTCAACAGAGAAGTCTTTACAGGAAATCGGGCTTACTCTGCTCACCTCTTAGAGCAGATTTGACTGTATTTTGACCAGTCACTACAAACGGAAAGCAATCAACAACAAAATCACCACAGCATTGTTATCAAAGTTTGTGGTCACAGCCTGCCCTCAGATGGCCCCATGCTTTGTCAACAATGTCAGTGACCTCTGACCCCTGGTGCACCCACATGGTGACACACAGAGGACACTGGCATGGTCATTCATCATAAGGCAATACAGGTGACTTTGCTTATTTAAGTAAAGAAAAACATATTGACCCAAAAACAGTAATTTAGTGCTGGAAAAAAGTAAGACAGATAGGCAAAACAATAGAGGGAAAGAAAAGAAATGAAGCCTACCAGTAGCGCCCTCCAACCACCCGCCAATTCAAGTAAACAGACCAGGGACATAATGAGACAATTTTTCATCAGCAGAGCTGGGAATTAAATTCATGCTCTTTAAAAGAAATCAGCACCAAGGACAAAAAGAAAACCTCTCTTTCTTAATTTATCTATCTCTTTATATCTTATATTATATGTGAGCACGCTTGGAGAAAGGTCCAAGTTTTCACTAGAGCTATTTTTGAGCTTGGAGGTAAAATGGAAAGAAAAGCATCATGTGGTAAAAAATGTCGTGCTTTAGAAGTATGCTTCGACATTCCTAAAATAATGCACTAAAAGGATTTTTCAAAATAAAAATAAAAAAGGGGCTGCAGGAAATAATAAAATCAGCATCTTTTGTTTCATGAGCATAAACATGCTGTTCCTCAGACCATCAATTTTTTCAGACCCATTGGGTTAACCAAAAAAACCCAACAATCCAGCTTACCTTTCATAAATCTCAACCACTTTGGGAGCACATGATTAGCCCTGGCCATGATGAGCACTTTGCGACTGTACAGGGCCACACCCACGTCCGTCTCCCGACTCATGTCAAACATTGCTGAAAGTCAAAATAGAACTTGTTAGAATAGATTTATACAAAAAGTACAATTTTCAACCAATCTCACAACTTGCAATTTTTCCTTGCCATAGGCATTACTGCAAAGAGATGGATACATTACCTGGCAACTCCCCAAAAAGTGATGAAATAGAGACAAGAATAGAAAATAACATGGGGTTCACATTGGTCAAATCTGATACTTGACCTTATCTCATATCATACTTTACTGATGAAAGAAAAAAGAGAGTAGCCATATATTGCAATTCTCACCCTCGTATTAATCAGGGTCAAAACAAGAGAAACATTGTTCTTGTGACAGCAATGATATGGTAATTCACATATTAACTTTACAAATCTCTTTGACTTTGAAGCAGCAAAATGCCCCCATTTTCCATTTGGCAGAGTTGAAGTTTAGAAAAGGCAATTTTGAAACAAACAAAACAACTTACTTGGCTTATATTCTGGCACATAAAACAAAGATCTGATATTGAGTGGCGCATCAGTCTTGTAGTGAAGGTGATATCTTGGCTTGTCGTACACATTGCCGATGTAGCGGTAAAACTCCTCGTGCATGTCCTCAGTGACATCCCTTGGCTCCATTGTCCACAAAGCCTAAGAAAAGACCAAAATAAGAACCCAATCAACTAAAAGAAACGCACATCGACAAAACATTGGTCATTTGAACAGTGTTTGGTACGATCTGGCCTAGTCTGAGATTATGTTAAAAGACAACATTTTTCAACGGAGTAATACACACATCCGAAAAGTTCTGAAAAAAACAGTCTGTGGTGAAATCGTTAGACTCTTTGCTATCAAATGCAGAAAACATGAGTCTGTACATATCTGCTAGGACTTAGAATTATCCTCCGTCTACACTGACCCTGACAGGAAGGGTTGAAGCAGCCCACCTCCTAAATGATCTAATCTGTATCGATGTTGGCGTAAAACATTTGCAACTATCATTATATATAGTGTTTTCCAAAGCTAACAAAATTACAGATGTGATGAAAAGAAAACTCCATCCCCATTTTTAGTGAGCAATTCTGTTAACGCAAAAATTAAGCCCTCATCTGATTTTATGTTGTAGCAAGCACAGTAAAACCCTTACCAAAACTTACCAATGCAACTATTTTAGCATGTTGCAAACGACCACAACCCAGAAAGCCTAAATGAATTTCTGTTCGCAGACGACCAATGTCTAATTCATCATGACCAACAAAGCCTCCGAAATCACACTACCGAACTCAACAACACCTGTGAGAAATTCAACATGAAAATAAGCACATCAAAAACAGAAGTTATGAAAGTGAGCCGAAACCATAGTCCCCTGAACATCCATGTCAATAGTAAACAACTGAAACAGGAGAAAGAGTTTAAATATCTTGGCAGCACTTTTTCTGAAAACGTGTCCACAGACAGAGAAATAGAAATGCGAACTCAAAAAGCCAACGCTGTCACCTACCAGCTCGCACCCCTTCTATCTCATCCAAACATCTCCATGGACACAAAGAGACAGCTTATCACCTCAATATTCATACCAACATTATGTTATCAGTGCCAGACCTGGACCTTAAGCAAAACCCATGAAAGCAAAATCACTGCATGCGAAATGAAATGTCTCCGCAAAACCCTTAACATCACAAGACGAGACAGGCAGAGAAATGAAGAAGTAAGAGCAGCTATCAGCACTGAGTCCTGCCTGCGTTACATAGAAAGACAGAGGATAAAATGGTTTGGCCACCTGTTACGCATGTCACCTGACCAGCCAGCCTTGGGAGCCTACAACACCAAGCACTCAGGCTATAAAGGAAGAGGAAGGCCACGCAAAAGGTGGATCGAGGGTGTCAAGGAAACCCTATGAAAACATAACATCACAACTGAAAGAGCTGCGGAGCTGGCCTACCATAGAAAACTGCATCTCCCCTCGACGCTTAACAGCAACAGAGGATGAAAAGGTAAAGTAAGTAAAGTAGTAAGTAGCAAGATCAGAAAGCATAAAATATCTTTCATCGCTTCCAGCTGAATATTTAACAGAAAGCACAAGATGGCCGATATGATCTTGGTTCAAAAGAATCAAGAGATCAAGAACCTCACTATTTCCTTGATTTTTTCCAAGACGTTGCGGTTTAGTTATATAATCCATGTCACATTGCTTTTCATTTACTTTGTCAAAAACAGACATGGACAATAGAAAAATAAAAGAAAGGAAAGGGTAAACCAACCACATCTTTGAGTTTATCAACCATGTGCCGTCTGTAATAAACCACTCAGCATAAATAGACAGACAAGGAAGCTTCATATTGGTAGTAAAAAGAAAACCCAATAAAAACCAAACTGCACACGATGGACTCATAAGCAGACAGAAATATTTTTTTGAAATTAAAACATTAGAGATACAAACCTGAACAATGTTTGCTCTTTTCCCATTGAGATAGATTGGAACTCCAACAAAATTGCTGTACTTCTTGACAACCTCTGCAACAAAAATCAAAGGACAATTTTTACCAATTTTCTGAAAAGCCACAAGTACAGCTCACAAATGACTATAGCGTAGATATTAAATTCATTCGAAGAAATAAAAAAGTCAAAAGAAAAGAAACAGGGAAAGGGGATCACAAAACAGCTCACAAGCAATATACTAATGAGTTCCTATACCTGTAAATCTCAATATCAGTAATTCTACTGACACTTTAAATATACATCTTAAACAATACGAGATAGGAGAGATTCTCATCAATCTATTCAGAGTAATGAGTTGAAATACTTCAGAAAGAAGGTTCATAAGGTACTGCTACAATTAAAAAAAGAAACCAAAGAAAGTATATCAATTACTGTGTGGCTGTATGGGTCGGTAACACAAGACATCAAGATAAAGTAAAACTGAATCAATAAATGAGGAGAGCTTGCAAAATACCAACAACTACATTCTTTTATTTCGATGAATTATACTATAAAATTACTTTCACTAAAAAAATTCATTTCATCTTTTTGGACAACCAAAACCCTTTGTTTTCTCAAATTAATACATCAATAAAAAGTAACAGACCTATGGTTCAGCCATGTAACAAAGAAAGAGGAAGAAAGTCATTTTACTATCATTCATTAAACTCATACCATCTTAATCATCTTGCAATATATCAGAATTTCTACGACTTTTTAAGCATTTAGCTTCAGAATACCATCAAAATATTATCAAATACTGATTATGTACCTAGTTTCAACATTATTATTATCATTTTGTGTTCATTTGTATCATATGTGTGTGACTAAGGATTTGTTTTTGAGTGTTAGCATATCATATATTATGTGTGTATGTGGAAGAGAGGGTGTGAGAGAGAGAGAGAGAGAGAGAGAGAGAGAGAGAGAGAGAGAGAGAGAGAGAGAGAGTGTGTGTGTGTGTGTGTGTGTGTGTGTGTGTGTGTGTGTGTGTGTGTGTGTGTGTGTGCGTGTGTGTGTGTTGAAACATCAAACCAATGTGCTAGCAGTAAGCAACTGGACAGCAAAGATTTATCTGATCTTATTTCTGGTACCTGTTATGATATCCTCTTTGGCATAATCATAGCAGTCTCCTTTCAGATGAACCACAATCTTGGTCCCTCTTTGTACACCCTCGGCCTCAGAAATGTCATACTTCCCAGATCTAGCAATACAGATGAGCAAAGATAGAATAAGTTGAAAAGAAAATCACAGAGCATCCAATACACTTGTGTATCTGACGATTGGATTGCAATAAAATTTCATTGCATTGTCATCATCTATGGGTTCTTAGGACAAGTTTAATAACTAATTGTACAGTAGTATCGCAATCTAATCTATGATATAATGAAGAAGAGACAAGCATTCAGGAGCAGTTGATCATTCAGTCCAACTATGATCTTACAGTATTATGCATGATGCAGCTTTGTCTGGGCAGTAGACATAGAGGAAGTAGTTTTCCAAAGCAATAATAGCAACAATTTGAGTAGAGTTGTGTGTTCGTTTTAAAATAACGTATAACTCTTTATCTGCGAGGGGGGTAAAGTAAACCTACCACTTTCATCCCTTCTAATCTTGACAACCTTGATATGTTCCAATGGAGAGACACCGTCTTTACGTTTTGAATCAAAGAAGGTGACAGGGTGTGTACCTACTATCCTTTCATACTTAAGAGACAAAATAGACAGATAAGTCCCCCCCCCCCTCCTTTCCCATCACTAGACTGGACAATATGATACTTTTCTGGAAGTCAATTCAGCATTCTGAGACCTGAATCACATGTCGTGCACTCACCCATCTGATGACCACTTGTAAGCAGTAGATCCCGGCTGGTAGGACTTTGTGTACACATCAACCTTGTCGCCCACCATGAAAGTGGAGTAGAAACCAACGCCAAACTGACCAATCAGAGAACTCCTGACGTCTCCTTTCGACTTGTCTGCCAGCTCTTCCAAAAATGCCTGAAACAGAAAGATGTAAGACAATACTCTAACAAATCTGATGTCGGGCAAAGGAAAAGGGCAACATTTTGTTTCGTTTGTTTAGTAGAGTGTTTTACGGCGCTCGCAACTGCATAAGGTCATATGACCGCGCGGGACACACCTAATACTTTTTCGTTGGTAGGAAATTTTTGAATTTTGCCCAGGTGGCGGCCGAAGCCTACTCTTATCGATTTTAGACCACCAAGGGATCTTTAACGTGCGTAACTTGCACACGGGCCCTCCGAGATTTTTCGCCCTTGTCCGAGAAGGCTAGGTGTAGATCTTTCCTACCAGAAGATCAGGGGTGTGGCAGAAAGACAGCAGTTAGGAGGAGCCAAGGAGTAGCAGTAGAAAGGCTGCAGAAAGAGTCAGGAGCCCAGAGGAGGGGGCAAAGGAGGTGAGGGGGTGGGGGCAGAAAGTGGAAATGAAAGCAGACAACATTGTTAGAGATCAGGAAAGGAAGTGAAAGGAGACAATTTTAGAGAAGAAATTTTTTTGGTCGCTACCCGGAATCGAACCCGGGACCTTTGAATGAGAGGCCAACACCTTAACCTCTAGGCCACGAGAGCCCCCCGGGCAACATCTGGGATTTAAAAACCATGAGAGGCGTTTTGTCACAAACAAAAAGAACAGTGACTCAACACGAGCCGTATACATAGATGTTTCCTCTAAATGCAAAAGAAATGAATTATAATAGTACTCTATCCAAACAAAGTAGCCAAATCTTCTCTTAATGGCCACTCCCACTCCCCCCTAGTGTTTTTTCTATCTTGTAATGACTGTCCAAGATATCCACCTGTCTAGTACAATTACTTTTCTTCTCAACAATGGGTGACCATCTTTGACAATTTTTGTCAGCAGTTAAAAAAGTGAAGTGATAGTCTCAGTCTTCTTAACACTTTGCAGCCTCATCTCACCATTCAGCGATGATTACCATCTAGCTTCTTTGGATTTTCCCCAAATGCCTTTGCCTTTGATGGCAAGAGTTTTCACTATATAAGCCTTGAGATGGCAAAGTGTAAAAGATATGTTTTTCCGGAGTAAGTGGAATGGTAACAATGATATGACAGAAGTAAATGCTACAATTTCAGTAGTATTGTTTGTTAATGTATAACTTTATCTCTGAAGGGGGTAAACCAACTAAGCGATGCTCTTTTTTGGTACGAAATCTAAAAGTGACATATATGTCACTAAATTGGTCATTAAACCGAAACAAGTGAACCTATTTAAACAAATCTGATGTCGAAGTCGTCGTTAAGGAATGTGCTCGAACCCCTGCCAGCGGCTCATCAGTATAGCTGTTCCAAAAGCGAGCCGCTGGGAGTGGCTTGCCAGAGATAAGGAGATAATATATAAGTGGCAAGTGCTAAAATCACCATTTGTCTCAGATGACACAGCGTTGAGAGTGTCTTAACTCATTCACTATGGCAATCTGACGGATTGGCTCAGTATCTTCCTTGTCCCAATGACAAGCTGCATCATCTACTCAAATACATGACTAGAAATACTTGAGCTATTCCAGTCCAGACTCTCCAAATAAAGTATTAATCTTTTTTCAAATTTCCATTCTGATATATTATAATACTTTACACTTTGCGAAGAAAAAAAAAGGTAAATCAGTGGACAAAACTAAACGTACACTCAACAAGTGCCTGCTGGCAGAAGAAATCATATTCAGGAGGGTAGAAAATTATACGGCGAAGGTGCAAGTTAAAAATATTTATCTGACAAAGTAAAACATGGAAAAGAAAACAAAAAAGATAATGATTTGGCAAAACATTTCACCTTTGATCCAGATCTTGCTATTGTTCCCAGGTTCTCCAGCAACTCCTCTTTGGTGAGTCCAATTCCAGTATCCTGCAGAAAATCAGAACAAAAACTTATAGATTTGTTGAAGGAAAAAATTGAAAAAAATTAAAAATGAACAGATCAGAGCGAAAAAATACAGGCCTTCAACCCGTTGGACATCTTTTTGCAATCTCATTCTTAAAATCTGAAACATTCCCCATAAAATGGTAAGAGCATCATTTGCTTAGCTATAACAGTCTTTACTGCTCAATACAAAGCATCAGTTTGAACGGGAAGTACATCAGCTATCCAGTACAACTGTATATTTTTTTCTTTCGGTACAATTAGCCTTGACACTAATATTAAGCAACCCTCATCCTCAGAAGGCTGCAAAACTATCAAAGACATTTGTAAAGGAAAGAAAGGATAAATTAACAAAAGGAACACATAGAAAAAATATAGAACCCAACTGGACTACACTGCTTCTTAGCGTGAGAAATTCCATCTTGTCACAAAAACAACAGTAGTGAACATTCTGTGCACTTAGGCACACATACACAATTTCCCTCTCCCTAACAAATGCACAAGACAGAATTCAAGAAAATAATATAAGCAGGGCTGTCAGGTTTACAATAATTGACAATACAATTACCTGAATAGTAAATGTCTTTTTGTCATCATTGGTGGCAATATGAATCTCAAGGGGCACCTCCTTATCATCCACTTGGGCACCAGTTAACTCAAAGTACCTCAGTTTCTCCAAAGCATCACTTGAGTTGGATATCAACTCTCTGATGAATACCTGTAAATAAATACAACAAGAAAATGTCCCAATGTTGTTATTTTTTTTCCTTCCTTCTTTTTTCTAACAATAAAAATTTAGCTGAATATAGCAGCTAACAAGTCCAAAAGGAAGTTAGGAGGGATGAGAACATGGGGAGGGTAGACATTTCCAAGGACAGTCAACTCCTTCACTGCATAGCCTTAGACTGCTTCTGGCCCCTAGCAGAATTATCAAATACACTTGGCAGGGGAGCACTACACCCCTTCATATTATTCAAGTAAACAAGTCACAATAAAAGGGAGGAAAAAACCCTTAGCTCAATTCTGCAAATCCTGAGTCCTGTTCTCACTTAGCTGGCCATGGGATCATCCTCTGAGCTAAGCTATGGGGTCACCTGACCTACCACCAA